GGGAAGGGAAGGGAAGGGAAGGGAAGGGAAGCGGAGAGTGTCGCGGCTGCCGTGCACTGCAGGTGGAAAGGGAAGCCACTCTGTGAATACAGGACTGAGTGTGGCTGAGGACCTCTTCCCCGCACTGACCCGCAGTGCCCCCTGGTTGCGGGAGGAGGCCCAGGCTGGCGCCCCCCCACCAGGGAAGCTGTTCTCAAGCGCCCAGGGAGCTGCGGGCCTTTACGTAAATCCAGTGAAGAAAGATGCACGGTCGTGTATCACCACCTGGACGACACCGCGCCCCAAATCTCTCCAGTGCTTCATCTGGCAGGGGCACTCACTTGCTACGTTGGACGACAGCGGGAGCCCTGCCTCCGCGTGATAGGGATGCACGGCGATCGGCGTCATGGAGGGGACAGGCACTCCGGGGAACGACACGGCTGTAGCTGCCAACGAGGGGGTCGTGACCGAGTAAGGGTACTGCGCCCCGATGAATGCCGGGTGGACACCCTGCAAAGGAAGGGGACAGGTCAGCCTGCCACGCCCAACCTCCACTCTCAGCACAGCCTGCCTTCTGAAGGCCCAGCACCCACGTCCTCTGGCTAGGGGGACACACTAAGCAAAGTACCTTAAATTAATGTATTTAATTAAAGTACCGGATAATGGGAGGATGCTGAACTGCTCTTCTCACACCTCCCTATGAACCAGAGTAAGACAAGTTCTTGTTTTCCTTTATTGGTGGAAGCGTACGAAGTATGCTTTAGGTGGTGCAGAACTTTTCTTCAAGCAGAAGTCTGCATGAAAAACTCCACCCCACTAACTCACCTTCACTGGCAAAGACGGTCCCTCAAAAACGACCACACTAGCCACTCCAGGCCCAACCCCAGCCCTGTCCTGATACTGAGCAAACTGTCAGGCTAACTAGTGAAATTACTCATCCGCACAGTACTATCAACACTCCTGTGTGAAAGCCTTGGTGACATAACGTGCGGATCCCAATGTGAACGGGGCAGCCAGAGCGATGCATCTGCTGAAGTACGAAGCTGCTCCGGGTGGCCGCTCTAAGCAGCGGCCTCCCTTGCTCTGCCAAGCTGCTCCCAATCTCGCTCTCCGGCCACTTCGGCGGGCAGCACCCGCGCTGCCCACCTGCCTGCTCGCCTCGGCCGCAGCATCTGTGGGATGGGGAAAAGGGAAGGGGCCATACCCCCCAATGCCCAGCCCCTAGAAAAGGACGTACCTGGGGGTAAGCGGAGCCTGGCACAGGGAAGACTGCGGGGCGAGGCATGTGCTGGATGGGGTGCCCCATGTACTGAGGGTTGCACGGGATGTGGGTCTGGAGAGCTGCGTAGGGGTGCAGGCCCTGCCCGTGGGCGTGCGCCATCGCCGGCCCCGCCATGGTGTGCTGCTGGTAGATCGTCGACCCCACCGAGATCACGGGCACCACCGTCGCCGCCGCCGTCACCGCCGCCGCCGCCACCGTCACTGTCGCAGGCTCCGAGGCCGCCCGAGCGTCTGCCAGTCCGCGGGCCACCTCACACGAGGCCCGGGCTCCGCCGGCGCTGCAGCCTGTGGCCCCCTCCCGCTGGGCCAGCGTCCCGCCCACCGTCTGCTCGTACAGCCAGTACCACTGATGGGCGACTTCAAACAGGACCTCCGGGTAGACGCCGCCCCCTTTGGCTGCCTCCTCCACCGCCAGGCAGGCCTTCTCCAGCATCGGGTTATCCTGCAGCAGTAGAGGCGACATCGGTCACTTCGCACGTGTGCGCCTCGCCACACAAGCGCAAGGCCTCACATGGGCTGCGTGCGCACCAGCTGCCCGCACGGCAGTCCAGCTCACAGGGTGGCTCCGCAACAGCCGACTCTCCGACTGCTGGAGGGGGCCGGGGGCACGCGAGAGGCGGACCTCTCTGCGAAGGAGCCTCCGTGGCCAGGCGCTCTCACCCTTCGCGGAAGAGCGTCGTGCAAGGGCAGGCGCGCAAAGCTGCTTTGCAAGGGGAGCGCACACCCATCTGGCGCCTCCCCGTCGGACTCTGCACGCTAACGAATCAAGTGCTTCTCAGGAAATGCTGGTCTGCCGGAGCACACGCAGAAAATATGAGGTGGTCCGTGCAGGACACCGACTGGATCAGAATAACTGGCGGACCAGCAGCAGCTTGGTGTTCCTCGGTCACCTGGTGAACCACCTCCTTTTCCGCGTTTTCAGAGCCGACCATAATCAAGTGGGGGCACTGCAGCCCAATGCTGGTTTGTTTGTTTATACTCCCATTTATATGCCACCCCACCACCAAAGTCTCAAGGCGGCTTACAATAAAATATAAAAATACATATAACAAATTGTTGCCCTCAGAATTAAGAAAATATAGCCTAATAAAGGAAACCAACCAAGTTTATTTATTAAACTCGGAGCAATTTGCCAACTTCAAGCCATGCCTTGGTGCTGGAGTACAGCCAGGCAGACCTTGCATGCATTGCAGGAACCAGGGGAAAAGGGCGTTCAGAGAAACTGAGCAAGCTACAGGGAACCGAAGACCTTCCGGGTCTGACCTCATCTGCTGGGAGGCACTGGCGAAACTGGCCGGGAAATACCGGCCAGGCCCCCGGCGCCCACTCACCTGCTCCTTGCACTGGACCAGGGCCCGCTGGATCTCGTTGGGGTTCAGGGCGTGGGCGTGCGGCAAGCAGCTCAGCGCCAGCTCGGCGGCCGCTCGCACCATGTTGGAGTCGCGGGCTCGGGAAGCCCTGTCGGCCAGGGAGGCCACCTCGGGAGGGGTCAGGTGTCCGTCCCAGCACTCCACCAGGATGTTCAAGGCCGCGCTGCCAATCTCCATGGCTTGCCCTGGAAGTGGGGGGAGGGGGGACACAGAGTCCCGTGGGCTCACAAGACTAACAAATGGCCGATGGCAGGAACATGCGTGGGCGGGGGGGCGGCCTCACCCCAGCCAGCAAGCGCACACACAAGCACGCGCATGGTGAGGGGGGCCGTCAACTGGGAGATCAACGGGGACGGAGGGAGGGGAGCCGCAGGCCGAGATTCCAGGACAAGCAGGAAGAACAAGCCAAGGACCCAGGAAGGGTCCGCGCGTGACCTTCCAGCCCCTCGAGGAATCGCCAGGCATCTCTGCCTTCATCCCGCAGACAGCAGAGGGGATGCGGGCCGTGGCGGGGCCGGGACAGCACGAGGACCGCCTGCCCTTCTCAGGCCTTCCTTCGCGAGTCTCTTGCTGCCCGGAGTGAAGTGGGGAGGGGCCTGGGGAGGGGTCCCCCCTCCAGCCTTGGGGGAACGTGCTCCTCCCTGGCCCTTCTCCGCAGCCCTCCCTTCGCATCTGCCACACCCACAGAGGGCGAGCTGGCCCCGGGGGGCTGGTGGGGCAACTCGCCCCACCGAGCGAGAGGAATCGGGGCAGCGGCGCTTCCGAGAGGGTGGCAGGGCACCGAGGCACAGCGAGTGGCCTGAGACAAGCCCCCCACCGTCGCTCCTTCCTGGGCACGTCCCGCCCCCACCCCGGGGGCAGCAGCATCCTGACAGGGTCCGCCCTCCTCCCGCTCTGGCTCACGCCCGCGGAATTGCTGTGGGGCAGCCGGGAGCCCAGCCACACTGCCACCCCTGCCAGGTGCGCCTTCATGGCGGCAGCAGCTTCCCCGGCTGCAGAGCCCACGCGCCCTTAGCCGTCGGGGCTCAGCGAGGCCACCTCCCCATGGACACCGCGGGGCAGCGATGACAGCCTGGGGCAGCCCCTGCCCCCACCTGTGATCCACGACACGTGGGAGGAGTAGGTCCGGGAAAGCCAGTTGGGGGAGACGAAGTTGTGCAGCCCCAGCGCATAGAGCCCGATCTCGAAGGCGCAGAGGTGGAGGTTGCGGTGGGGCCCCTGGTGGCCCCCGCTGGAGGACGGGTGGGTGAAGATGGACGTGCTGCTGTTCCCGCCTGCCTTAATGAGCACTGTCTTGGCCAGCTCAAAGTAGAAGTGTGCAGCCGCTTCAGAGGGCTGGTTCGGGACATGGGGCGCGTGGCTCTCCGGCCGCCTGCCCTTGTACCTGAGGAGCACGAAGGGAGACACCCGTGAGGAGACTCGGCTCACCCCAGGCGGAAACCCAGGCCAGGCAGGAGCCCAGAGCCGGCCTGCAGCTCTGGCGGGCGCCAGGGCGCAGGCGTTGCCGAGTGTCTGCAGGGACATGCCACTCTCGCGGAGAGCCGCTGGCCACCTTAACACTCAGCCAAGGGACACACTCGATTTAATGAAGGAACTACAGGGGACGGCAGGGGAAGCCGACTCAGCTCGCAAGCGTCTTGAGCACTCCGGCCACATTTCCAGCTCCCACCCCACGACCGGCCACCCCACGGAACCACTTCTTCATGTAACTCCGGCGTGGGCAGCCTTGCAAAGTCACGATCCCGAACGGGTGCCCAGCTTCAGAAAAAGCCGTGCTTACCGGCCAACTTCCACGGTCTTTGCCCGCGCACCTCCGCTGGCCCGCCGGCTTCCACTGGAAGAGGAGGAGCCCAGCGAGTCGCTGGAAGAGCTGCTGATGCTGTCGCTGTCCTGCCCCCTGCCCCAGGAGGTGGCTGCCCACCCTCCACGCAGGGGCCTCCTGCTGAGCGTGGGGGAACTGTCCGACGTGGTTTCCGGGGCACTGCTGTCGATGCTGGCCATTCCTGCAGCGGCACAGGGCGGTGGGTAAGTGAATGCACAGCACGCCAAGCCCCACGCTGACAACCCAGAGGGTGACCGTCTCGGGTGTCAGCATCGCCAATGGATTACAGTCGGGCAGAGCAGATTTTCTGGGGATGCTGCTCCAGCAGAGAGCCGATGGAATATGCTTCAAGAGATCCTGGAGAACCTGGATATAATTCTCATCTCAGGAGTGTTGGAGGGATTACCAATCTGTCTCGAATACTTTAAAACCAGGAGCCAACCTGGTTCCAAATAGTTCTACTTAGGTCTCAAAGTGTAGCTTTCACAAAGAAATCTGATGTATACTGGTCCTTACATAGATACTTATGCATGAGCCTCATTCAAGGACAAAAGAAAGTGAGTTCACGAGAATGGCCCTACTGAATCAGACAAACATCTGTTCAATCCAGTGCTCAGTTTCCGGCAACAGTCAGTTGAATCTCTCTGCTCACAAGAGGGGCATGAAAGAAATATCTAGCCCTGTTCTCTTAGATATTTCCTTTCCATAAAAAGGGAATATCCTTTTTTAATATATTTCACTAGATCTCGCTATTATCTCACTAATATTTCACTAGATCTCTCGCTATTATGAGACTTACATCCATTGTAGGAAAAACAATGGAAAGGCTCATCATAGCGAGAGATCTAGTGATGCTAGATAGGGAAGGGAGGCTGGCAGCCACACAACACGGCTTCCGCAAAAACAGGTCCTGCCAGACAAACCTTGTGGAATTCTATGACAAGGGTTCAAGGTGGCTGGATGGAGGGGATGCAGTGGATGTGGTATACCTGGATTTCAGCAAGGCCTTTGACAAAGTGCCCTATGATATCCTGGTGGAGAAACTGAGGAGTTTTGGGATACACCAAAGCACTGTCCGGTGGATTAGGGCATGGTTGACTGACCAAAAGCAGAGGGTAACCATTGGTGGGAAATCACTGGGATGGCAGCCAGTGACAAGCAGGATCCCCCAGAGCTCTGTCCTGGGATGATCCAGTTTAATCTTTTCATCAATGACATGGAAGAAGGGGTGAACAGTCTGCTGATCAAATTTGCAGACGACACTAAAACTGGGGCAGTGGCCACAACTGAGGAGCAGGTACTGCATATCCAAAAGGATCTGGGCAGACTATGGAAGTGGGCAGGAGACAACAGGATGGTGTTCAATGTAGATAAGTGCAAGGTCTTGCACCTGGGGCATAGGAATAGCTGTCATAAGTACAGGCTGGGGGACAAGTGGCTGGAGAGCAGCGCTTGTGAAAGGGACCTCGGGGTGCTGGTAGACTGTAGGCTAAACATGAGTCAGCAGTGTGATGCAGTGGTCAAGAGGGCAAACACCACCCTTGGTTGCATAGCCAGAAGTGTGGCTTCTAGATCCAGAGAGGTATTACTACCGCTCTATACGACTCTGGTGTGCCTGCAACTGGAGTATTGTGCTCAGTTCTGGGCCCCTCATTACAGGAAGGATCTAGCCAGGTTAGTCAGTGCAGCGTAGGGCCACAAGGTTGGTGGCCGGTTTGCAGGGGATGGGGGATGAGGCAAGACTGAGGGAACTGGGTCTCTTCAGCCTGGAGAAGACTCAGAGGGGATCTGTTGGCGACATACAGGTACGTGAGGGGATGTCACACAGAGATGGGTAGAGACCCGTTCTCCCCTGCAGAGGAAGGCAGGACATGCTTCAACGGAGCAAAGTTCAGGGAACCCAGGTTCCATTTAGATGCCAGGAAGCACTTCCTGACAGCTGGGACCCCGAGGGTGTGGAATGGGCTTCCACAAGAGGTGGTTAAGGCCCCATCAGTGAGGGTGTTCAAAGATAGGCTGGACATGCACATGGCGGGCATGTTGTGAGCGGAGCTGGCTGGAGCCGGGGGTCAGACTAGATGGCCTGGGAGACTCCTTCTGACTTGCTCTGTCTCTATGTTTCTATGTTTCTTTTTAAGGATATTTAAATGTTTCCTTTTCCTTTCCTTACAAAGGAAACGTCAATGGAAGGTGGCATTCCCTGAAGGCTGTATTGGCCACGGCTGCTATGCAGAACCTTTCACATCCAGCAGTGACACTGGTTTGAGGACCACTGCAGGGACGCCCTTCCTGGGAGCCAGAGCTGACGGCCACAAAGCCAGGGCAGCCATGTGCATGGGACATTCAGAGAACACTCCACTGAACGGAGCCACCGGGGGAACCTGCGCTTCAGGGAGACGTTCTGAAGGTGGCAGGGAGGGGGATACAAACAGCAGCACCTGGACACTCACTGCATTTATTCCATTCATAATGACAACAATCGAAGAGCTGAGAGCTCCGTGTGGAGGAACGTGCCTCCACGTTCTGTGGGGCTGAAGAATGAAGCCACCAGCAAGTGACCTGCTCCCACTGCCCCCTGGACCCCACCCCAAGTTACCTGTGTGCTTCTTCTTTTGCCTGACGGGGGAGCCCCAGCACCTTCCGTTGTATCCACCTCTGCTTCCGAGAGCCAGCCGGCTGGGAACTTTCCCTTCTTGCTTTAGGACACTGGATTCCACAGGTGGATCACACGGGGGTCTCTGAGGATTCTCTGAAAGGCAGGGATACCAGGAGAGAAATGTGTAAGGCTGCTGTCTGCTTTCACTCCCTACCCAGGCTTGACTTCTTTACAGGGGAAAGGAAGACTGGTGGACACACAGTAATAGATAAGCACAGGCTCCAGCACCGCTTCCCTCTCTTTCCCAGATGAAGCAAACGGAAGGGGTGAATGCACTGCAGTGAGGTCCCCTGAAGATAAGGAAAATGCAGATCGCTCATTATTTCTGTGCAGGTTCAGTAAGCGACAGCCCATGGCAAACCCCATGATAGGTTTTGAAGAAAAAGCCACGAAAGAGCATTCTTCGAGGACCTGTCAGCCTGGAGCTAATATCCAGGCAAACGGGGAGAAAGTTCTCTCTTCTCTGGTAGCGAAAAGATAGCTGCGATCATGCGGGGCCGCGGTTCGTACCTTGGGCGCTCTTCTCCAAAAAGGGTTCGGAAGGGTTGTTCTGGACTGCGGGGGGTACCCCTGTTTGTTGTGTGACAGACGTTCCTGGGAGGTGCTGAATGGGTGCAGCTGATTGGGTAGCGTGCTTGGAAGGAGATTTCTGACTGGCCACCGCTGGCTTGCTGGACGAGTAGAACGAACTTAGGGTTTGAGGTTTGTGTGTCTGGCTTTCCCTGTCCAACAGTTTATCCAAGATCTTTAAAACAGAGAACAGGAGAATGGGGACATTAGCATCAAGACAAGGAAGCTCTTGGAAGAGCAAGATGCAACCAAAGATATCAACACGGAAATAAGCTGTAAATCAGGCCCTTTTCAAAAGACGGGAAGGAGACAGTGAAATTCTGCCATGCCTTTCTTTTCACACTTCTACGTTCATGAAATTTATAAGCATATTAAGAATCCCACCGTTAAATCGGGACTGAGGAAATCAGTTTGATCTATAGTCTCCAGAAGCAACTGTGAAACTGCTACATGCAAATTATAAACCCGAACTATGGAGCATGCAAATACAGAGACACAGAGACACAGACTGAGAAGTCAGGAGGCTAAACATTGTTCAGCACAGGCTACTGCAGCCACTTCCTTTCTCCTTGGATATGGAGTCCAACAGCAGGACTCTTCCGGATGCTATCCTACGTGTACCTGGCCAATTCCCAGCACAGCTGGTAGGGTGTACCAGAAGTGGGGGAGTTTTCCTGCCCAAACATGCACAGGACCTGGCCCAAAGCCACCTCCCAGTCCAGCCTGCTTGTCAGACAGCTAATGCTGTACGGGTTTGATGCAAGTATCCGAAGTCTTGGTGAGGAGGGTTGCCTCCAACCCACCCACAAAGTCCCACCCGCATCTCTGCCCTGTGATCCTGCAGGGCATCTCCTCAGCCTGGCACAAGCTGTGCGTGTGGCTGCAAGAGCCACAAGAGGTGGCCCGGCATCCGACTTGCGGGTAAAAGTCCAGCAAGCCCCTCGAGGGGCAGTGACGAAACATGTGGGCTGGAGCATGCATCGCAACTGGTAGTGTCATCTGAGAATCAGAACACCCCCCCACGATACATCCCAGGCCAGTGGTAGCAAACCTCTGGCACGCGTGCCACAGCGGGCACGCAGAGCCCTCTCTGTCGGCACGCGAGCCAAGTGGCCCCAGCATCGCCCCAGCAGCCGAGCATCGGATGACAGGACACACAGGGGCCATGGGCATGCTCGGAAAGGAGCAGTGGTGCCAGGCAATGGTGCCACAAGCCGTGGCACATTAGCCACAACCCGTCCGAACAAATGCATGGCCAGTCAGTGCGCTGTCAAGGATATTTGCTTGGATTGGCTGGTTTCGGGTTTTATTGCAATAAATAAGTGGGCTTTGGGTTCCAGTTTGGGCACTCGGTCTCTAAAAGGTTCGCCACCACTGTCCTAGACAAAAGGTATAAATCAAGGTTCTGAAAAGCTTTCCCCCTCAATCTCTTCTAACCTAGAAGATATACAAAGCGTTCCCCAGTGGAACAACTCCCCAAATCTTCAAAGCTAGCACAAAAACGTGCTGCAGCATCTCTCAGAAGGGAGCTTGCATATTTCAGACTAGGACCTGTGCTCTTGGGTGCCCATTAATGACAAGGAGCCTCAGAAAGACTTTTCATGCATCTGAGTGGCAACTGATGCTCTATATGAACATCCAGACCTTAACGAAGAGACTCCACTGAGGTCTGTGCAAGCCCTCCTGCTGCACAGTATGTCCCTTTCTTTGCAGTGTGACCCTTTGGCAAAGGAGGGGGAACTCATAGGAGCACTCCCAGGTGGACACTGCAAACTACTGAAGACTTTTGGGGGAGGGAGTGGAGAAAAGCAGAGCGAGAGCTCTCCAGGCAAATCTTGGAAAGCCGAGCAAACTACGGCGTAAACTTGGGGAGCCGACCCGTTACAAGCCAAGACTCGGCTTTAAGTGTGACTTACCTTTTTGAGCTTAGACTGGTCATCCTTGTAGGTGATCATGAGGGCCAGAGCCAGATCGCCCTTTTCTCTCCGGGTGCCTTCGCACAACAGAGGATGCTCTGCTTCGCTCACCGTTGTCTTCATGCCTGCAAGGCAGAGAGCAGAATTCGAACACGGCATCCTTCATATTTAAGACAAACTCCCACGTTATTTTCTGTAAGCTAAGCAAAACCTTTATCCAGGCAGGGCTTCCCATAAACCCCTCACGATTACACCCCTTCTGGGATACTAGACCTCCCCTCAAGCACACTAGACCCCCCCCCCAAGCACACTGACAGAAAAGGAGAGCCAGCACACCCTTCCACCGCGTGTGGCAGCATTGGCGAGCGAGCCTTCAGTTTCTCCCACCTACAAGCTGTTTCGATCAACTCCTGCAGCGCCAGGCAGAACAAGCCCAGCGTTGCAGGTCTCCCTGGAACGAGGCCCAGGCCACCACACACACACACACACCTCTGCCACTCGCTGTGGTGGGTGCAGCGTGAGGGGGCTGAGCGGCCCCCTCTGGGCCCCAAGCACCCTCGATCGGGCCAGCAGGCCGGCCAGAGCCCTGCTCCATGGTGGCGCGCCTTCCTCTGTGCTGAGAGGGGCACAGGACTCCCACTGTGTCGGGGGGACTGGCTGCCCTGCCTCCTGCCAGCAGCACGCGAGAAAGAACCGCGCCAGTGCCGGAAGGAGCGACTGCGCCTCCCAGTGCCAGACAAGCCTCCCGCTCCACCTGCCCTTCGCCACTGTCTCGTATCCTCTGGAGGTAACACAGCTTCCCAGGTGCTGGCAGCACCAAGCTCTGAGCAGCCACGTGTGCCCAGCCTCCCCTCCGCCCCCCTGATGCCACTATGCAGCAGAGCAGAAGCAAGGCAGCGCGAGGAAGAAAGAACCTTTTCCACATGTGAGCAGACAGTTCTGTCTTGACCTAAAGGAGGGAAGGGAGTCGCAACGCCAGCGAGAACGCCTGCTTTCCTGGGCAATAAAAGGGGTTAACCTAACCCTGGATGCCTCCCTCACACCAGCGTTAGGAAAACGGAGACCTGTGTGCACATAGGGGTGCCACGAGACAGCAAAAGGCCCGGCCCCCTCGTCAGTGGGGAGCAATTTCACCCGGCAAAGAAGCAAAGAGCTCACCAAGGGCAGCCACCGCTGCTTCAAAGCCCAGTTCCTCATCTCCAGGCATTTCATTATTCCAATTACGACTCGGGGGTCTGGATCCGGTAGGAGAAACCACTGGAAAGGGACGAGATGGCCGATCAGTCAGCTCTGCAGAGGGTAAGGATTACCTGGGCCAGCAAAACTTCAGAGATCCACGAGGATTGCACACAAAGCTTTCCCTGCTAACCCAAGGTCTATCCATCTCTGCATGTTAGGACTTTTACTCCCTTCCACCCTGCAAAGGTGGACGAGGGAGTAGGGCAGACCACCCCCCAAGGGATGGGCTGGGGGCCAGGCACCCCCACGTGGGCCTTTCGCAGTCCGGAGGACCTCCAGCAGGGCAATGCCGGGGATGCTCCTGCCCCGCCCTTTCCCCAAGACAGGAGATGCATGGCGGCTCCGGGTGGCGTGCAAAGCCCCCCTGGCAGAACTAGAGGCAGCGGCGCCCCCCACCCCCCGCAGCCGTCTCCTCTGAGACGGGAGATAATCACGGGGCTCCTTCAGCAAGCTCCCCTGGCTGGCAGTTCTAGAAGAGATCTACTAAACTTAAATCCACACAATCAAGTATTTTTATACGGCCACAAAAATGTTCAGATCCCTCACCATATTTGGAACAATCTGTATTTGTGAGAACCAGGGCTGTTTCCTCCAAATGGAGCAAATCAGTTTAGCCAGGTTAGTGATATGACATGCCTGGTGACTCAAAAGTGCTACAGTCACTAAAAGAATCCACCCTCTTGAAGTGCAGAGCTACGACTGTTGATTTCAGAGCTGGTGCTTCACTGGTGCAGAAGCTACTGCAGCAGAAATTCAGTACAGAGTCACTGAAATAACCCATCTTTTTTAAAAAAATAAATAAATTTTGCCTAGAATAGCTTTCCTCAGCCTGGTGCTCTCCTGATGTTTGGGACTTCGAATCTCTTCTCTAACTGCCAACCAGTGGGGCTCGCAGAAGGAATCCACTGGCCCCAGTCAGCACTGTCAATGGCGGGGCTGATGGGCATCCTAGTTTAAAACATCTGGAGGGTACCAGGCTGGGGAAGACGGCCTGCAGCACTGCAGCTCAGCTGAGGGCCTCCCCTGGGTAAGCTGGCTGCAAGCCTCCAGCTGCTTTCGCGGGGCCCAGGCTCAGGCCCCTGCCATGGCCTGCTGCTTGGAGCCTGGCTCATCCGTGGTGCAGAGAGCGCTCGCTGGTGCTGGGCAGGGTTTGGCCCTGCGGTGCTCAGGAGCCGGTGCTGAGGCTCTCCTGGCCTCTCTGGGGCTGCCAGGGAAGGCCGACCTCAAGAGAGCAGCGTGTGATCAGACTCAGAGGCCCCCTCCCAAAGCACTGGCCCGGGACTTCCCTCTTGCAGGTGTGCCTGAAGGGGGTTTACCTGGAGCACACAGGACATCAAATATGAAGCTGGCCAGCATGAGAGGCAAGACCGGCCGATAGTCACACAGGGTCCCTTCCCTCAGCTCCTCTGCCCTTCCCCGAATGGTGCTCATCTCATGAGAGCCAAGTGGAATTTTCTTCAGCAGGGCCACGATTTCAGACTCCTGGTACGCGAGCTTCACCTGTTTGATGAAGAGTAGGGAACAACACCTATCTGTAGGAATACTGAGGATAACAAAGCATGCTCCTGTACAAAAACAGTGGGTGGCAACAAGCGTGAAGGTGTCCTCGACGAAGGAAGAAGGGAAGCGGCTCAAAGCTGTCCAGGAAGGTGTCCGGGGAGGCGAGACCAGCAGTCCTAGTCCATCCGGCAAGACGCCCTCTGAACAGCAGCCAGTCTGTGCCACTGACCAACTCCAGCACTCAACATGCTTCATCCCGGCCACGCAGCATCCCCTGAGCAGTCTGAGGGAAGGGCCCCCCAGGAGCAGTGGCCCCCGGGCTACTGGCCTCCCCCTCACGCTCATGCCCGTTGCACCTTTCCTGGACGTGGCCAGAGGCAGCCCGGATCCGCGCCACGCTTTCACTGCATAACCCGCCAGCAGAGACAACCCCTTTCCAGCCTCAAGCCATCGGGGAAAGCTTGGAAAGGGCGCCAGCCAAACGAGAGAGCAGCCCCCTTGGAGGCAAGGTGCTCTGAACCAGAGCAGCCACAGCGAGGGCAGGGCGCCAGCTCAGGTCCTCCGCTGAGGCCAGCTGGCCACACAATCTGCTCTGAGTACAGGCAGGCCGGATTCCACAGAACCTGGAGAAGCACCCCTGGGCCCGCGGAAAAGGGGGCGCATGTGACCTCAGTATCCCATGTACCTCCAGAGCCTTGGTAGAGGCAGGGGGCCGCTGCAGCTCCAGGGCAAACATGCCGATCCGAAAGGCCAGGTTGTGGTACTCCTGCCGCTCGCTCAGCACAGCCAGCAAGAAAGCGGCCTTGGACAGTGTATTGGTGGCCATCCACGTCTGCTTGCTGGTGGACACTTTGTTCTTCTTTCCCTGCAGATGAGCAGTTTAGAGGAGGAGAGCTCAGCCCAGAACAAGCGACACATGGAATCAACCCCCAGCGCACACCATGACTTCAAGTAAGCGCAGCCCGGCCTGGCTCCACCCGGGAGCTTTAGTTCCACAGAGAGAAAACACCTTCGATCCCACGCAGCGAGAGATGGCCACAGCTAAGCTCCACGTTCCAGTGGAGCAAAGAATCCCGTCTTTTCAGGGGTTTGTAAATGTGTCGATGCCATCTAAACGCTGCTTATACCACCACCTTGAAGGCAGAGTCGAGGCCTGCAAAGGACTCCAGGCCAGTCACGGGTGTGACACGGCCCTGCTGTTGCTTCAGGGGGCCTGCTCACCGGCATAATTAAAATTCTCTTCAATAATGCTTTCCCCCAGTATATCCTGAAGAGACAATTAGACTAATTGACCTTGTATTTCATAAGTTACTTTTCTGACCTCAGCAAGAAGGCTTATTTTATTGGCACTGAATGTTTTTAGTAAATCAGTCATTTTACATCCGGATAGCTCAGTCCAGTGACTTAATTATTAATGTGACAGTTAACTCTAGAACTTTGGGAACTTTGTTACCTCTCTTCCAAAAGCCTTTTCAGTAAAAACTGACGCAAATAATTCATTTACTCTTTTGCCATCTAACAAAGCTTCATTTGCATGGAGCCAGAATTCATTACAGGAAACATGAAAAGCATGACTACTAGGGATACAGGGTGGTGTTATGCCCTGTAATTTCAAACAGGAGTGCAGTATTCACAATCCTAAGAATTCAGCCTTTGATGAACAGTTCTAGATTCCATAAATGGAGATAATCTCGAAATGTACACAATGTCTCATGAAATCATAAAAGCCAGATGGGGATTCAGTAAGAGCAAATTAGACAAGCTATGTAAAGATATGCAAATGTGTATATTGTAGACAGGATTGTGTCATTTACATTTTCTCTGAACGTAAATTTAAGTATCTAGAGCGCAGAGCACGGGGATAAAATGCCCATGCTCTGAGACCCACACATCTCACGCCACGCCACGCCACGCCAGCTCATCCGCTCGGGAAGCCACGTGGCACGGCACTCGCGCCCGGCGCCCGCATTCAGGCTGCCTCCTCGTCTGGGCTGTACCTTGGCTGGTGGCTGCTCCACCTTCAGGTCAGGAGGGTTGGCCAGCAAGTCCTTCGCAAGCTCGACGGTGAGGCGACACGCTTCACTGCTGTAACCGTGCGCATAAAGAGCCTCGGCACAGGCAAACAGGATCTGGAAGCGAAAGCATGCCCAGCTGAGAGCAGCACACTCCTTGCCTTTCCCCAGCAGCACCAGCACTCAGTGCTCCACAGCAGCCATCGAACCGGGGGCAGAGGTGCTGAGCGAACAGTCAGGCCAGATTTTCCAGAGACCCCGTTGAGGGGTTCTCGTTTCATTCTCCCCAGGACTGGACGGAGTTGCATTCCTACTTAGGGGCCGGGAGGGAGGGGAAAAGCATCTCAACAACTTCCTCTAAAAACAGAAGTGGCTACCTCAGCTCCAGACACAGGTGCTAGCACAGGTGCAGAAGACTGGACCAGGCATGCATTTCCAGCGCCCCATCCCCCCTCAGCTGTCTGAGAACTTTCGGAAAACATCCTTCTGCTTCGACCCAGCCTCTGCTTTGCCACGCACCGCCTCAGCCTGGCCAGCAGCTGCACTCAAGCCCAAGGGCAGGTCCTCCCCACCGCACTGCGGAAGAGCCGTCTCTGCGGAGTGGCAGCACTCTGCACGCGCGGCGAGCTCCTGCGGCACCGGCCACCAGGCACGTGGCATGCCGAGACCGAAGAGCAGCACCCAAGTGGCCCGTGCCACTACTGAGCCACACGGCTCACGTCCTGCGCCTTCCCTCAAAGAGAAGTGACGGGCATTCTGGGGCAGGGAGACCGTTACCCGCCGTCTGAGGCTGCCTGCCTCTCCCACTTCGAAGGCCGCCGGGCCAGAGGCCAGGACAAAGGGCTCTCGCAGGCTGGGGCACGCTCATTTTCGCCTCTGCTGCCCTGTCTGCCCTGCGCAGAGGCGGAGCACCCTAGACGCCCGCAGCCTACAACAGAAGGGGGCAGCCTGGGGGGAAGGGGAGCACTGTCAATCTCGCCTGCCCCACGCCGAAGGCTGGGCTCTCCGCCTCCCTGTAGCATTGGAACACGCGCTCAGGAACCCTGAATCATCGGGGCGGGGGACTGATGCTCCTCTTAGTTTGGATACAGGCAGCGGGAGGTAGCCTGCTGTTAGGGAGACTAGCAAGCCAGCTGAGGAGGGGCCTGGGCATCATACCCCCCCCCCCCCCCGCAGCCTGAGCAGCTCAGCCTCCAGCCTGGTGGCGCTGCCGCTCAGTGACAAGCCCGCCCAACACAAGTCCCTTACCGGGAGTGGCCGGAGACGCACGCTGAGCCGAGCGAGGCCCGGGGCGGCGCTGTTCTCCCCCAGCAGGGCCCTCAGCCAAGGCCTTTTTATTTTTCCAGGAATTTTGGTTTCACTCTCTCATATCTGTACTAATCTTGCACTAAAACCTTGTACCACTGTTCTATTATCCTGCACTTTCATTTTACATTCTATTTATATTTCTATTTTAAATGTAAGCATTTAAATCTTTGTCCAGTATTTTCTGTTTTCAAATTGTTGGAAATGGTTGTGAACCCCCAGAAACCTTTGGCTATTGGGCAGTACAAAAGTGTAATAAATGGGTAGGCTGAGCAGGCAGGCAGGCAGGCACACAAGGAGAGCAGAAGCCCTAAGCTGGAGCACACAGACCCCTGGCTCTGCAGCCCCTGCCTCCTGGGCGCAAGCAGCGCACCAGCCTCCCGGCGTCCCGCGAAGCCACACCCGCCCCCCGAGCCCCGAGGGAAGCGGCTGCAGCCTGCCTGCACGCAGGCACCTCTCACCTCCATGCGGCTCTCCTGCTCCAGGGGCTTTATGCCGGCAAAGATGTCTTGCTCCTCCTCCGCTCCCCCCTCGGCCTTCTCATCCTCCTCCTTGGCCACCTCCTGGGGGTTCAGGTAGTACACCTGGTAGTCGTCTTCCTCCTCCTCTCCTCCAGCCGCCCCGTTCTCCCCCGCCTCCTTGGGCTTCAGGCACAGGCCCCCGGGGCCCCGCTCCGTGCAAGGGAGGCCGTCGTCCCCCTCACCCGCCTCGCCCCCCGGGTCCTTCGGGACCTTCTTGGCAGAGGGACTACTCCTGAGCGGGGGCTCGATGGCCTCGGAAAAGTACACCCCTCCGTCCTCCTCAAAGGCATCCCTGTAGCCCCGGCCCTGGGGGCTGTCGGGGAAGCCGAACGTGTTGCTGGCCTCGGCCCCGAGGGCCAGGCTGCTGTCGTCCAGGGCCAGCTCCGCAAGGTCCGGCTCCAGGGAGCTGTCCTCGCTGCTCATGCGGCGCTTCCCACTGTGCTTGCTGGCCAGACTCTTTCCCGCGGGAAGCTTGCCCTTGGCCACCGCTGCTTTGTACGCGCCTTTCTCGCCCTCCGCGGAGAGGCGCCTCAGAGCCCGCTGGGGGCCCTCGGGCACAACCTTCCGCTTCCCGACGAGCTCCTTGGGGCGCACGGCTGGCTCCTGCGAGGAGAGGCGCGACCGGTCCCCCAGCTGCAGGCCTGTCCCCACTGCTTCGGCGCCATGGGCTCGGCCCGCTTCGCAGAAGGCGTCCGCGCACTGCGGCCGGCAGCTCCTCTGCTGGATGGCCTTCACCCAGCAGAAGGAGTTCTTCTTGTCGGAGCCACTGTAGGTGATGCCCGGGATGGGGTAGGCCTCCTCCCAGCTGAAGTAGCATGCCTCCACCGCCGGCTTGAACCCCTGGAAGAGCTTCTCGAGGGACTTCTTGTGCTGCCCCCTCTTGACGTTGTCGATCACCTTCAACTGCCACTGCCTCAGCTGCGTGCACAGGTCTCTTCGCCTAGCGGCGCGGAACAAAGCGGGCGCGTGAGAGGCGAGGAGGGGCCGCCGAGTGAGCGGCGCAGAGCGCTTCACCCCGCCTCCCAGCCCCGGGGACTCTCGCGCCCTCCTCACGGATTCTCCTCACCAACCTGTCCGTGAGCTCCGAGCCACGCTGCACAGTCAGCCTGGCTGCCTGCACGCTGGACTCCACAGCACACGGCCTCCGGTCGCCACCATCCACACAGAGCCGCTTCTGCCACGCCGGCCCAGCAGCCAGCGGGCCACACACTCGGCTGCCCAGGTGGTTCCGGTGCGGCCCCAGCGCCCCGAACCGAAGGTGCTGCGGCCGGCCCTCCCTCCCCCAGGGGGTGGGGCGCTGGGGTGTGACAGCACTGTGCTCGTCACACATCCACCCGCTGCCAATCTGGCACTCCGAGTGAGAGAGCACTTTTAACCGGAGCCATGAAAGAACCCCATCTTTCTTTCATTCATATAACTTTTGTTTTGGTAGCATAACTGAACGCAAGCCCTGCCCATCACCCCCACACATTTGCAGGACAGCCGAGGCCAGGGGGCTCAGGAGGCATGGAGCATGGCACGGCCATCTCCCCCCACCCACGTTTTGGGCGAGCAACCACCTCAACGGAGAGAGAAGAAAAGAGTGCACATGTACAAGGAAAGGGGCAAAAAATGCTCATGGGCGGGGACACGGGGGGGAGCCCTTCGGGGCCGTTTGACCTCGCTGCCTACCGATGGGGGCTGATGGTTGGATCCAGGACCGCGAGCCTCCAGAGAACGACCATCTCGTCACACATGCCCGCGCATGCATGGGCGGCCACTTCCGACTGGCCGCTGCTGCGGCCGGTGTGCCCACTCGCACTGCTGTGGGACGCAGAGGTCCTCACGCTGTACCACCAGCCCGTGATCTGCAGAGAGAGGGGCCGACACGTCAGATCCCAGCTTCCCTCTGAACACACGCCGGCAGACGCAGCGCACTCTCTGAGCAGGAGGCGCTCGCCCCAACTGCGGTGCGGCAGCACATGCTCCGTCAGGCCTGGGGGTCTGCCACCAGATCCCTCTGTAGCCAGCCAGGGCGCCCTGCTGGCTGCCAAGCCCCTGCTTGTCGATGAACACAGAGAAAAAAACAATTTCCAAAAGCCGTTCTGAGAAGTCTTACTTGGGCAGGATATAAATGTCTTATGGAAAGTAGTACCTGTTCGTACGTCAGACACTGGTCCGTGAGAATCTCCAGAAGAGGGGCAGCATTCGTGTCTCGCCTCTTGAACATCTCCCGGACGATCGAGAGTAAGTTCCAGATGCCTTCGGGCTCCCTCCCTCTCAGGGGGCGCAAGAGACAGGCCCACTCAGCAGCGGCCGGAGGCTCAGTGGAGGAGAGATACATGGAGTTCACATCACTGCGAAGTTTGAGAAGTGGGAGGGGTGGGAGGAACGCCACCAAGGGAACACAAGATGCTTAAGAGTCACAGAACTGGCAATCCTGCGTCTAGAAAAGTCCTTTCACAGGCCTCGTCCCCTCCATCCTCCTATTTAATAACAAGAGGCGGCATCTGAGCAACACCAAAGCCAGGCACTCTGGTGTGTGCTTAAGAACACATGCAGTATTAATAGTCCTTGGATGCAATATATGCCTCCGTTACATTAGGAATCTTACCCACAAATGTGAGATTATCTACAAATGTTCTCCTGGTTTCTGCAACTCCCACTACAAAATGCACTTTTGCACATGTGCATTTTGTTAGATTGAACTAGTGGCTCCAAAACCTGCCTTCAAGTGCCCCTTTGCACAATGAGTGGCCAGCAGGAGCTCGTCCAGGGCTATTGCCGCCACGCTGAGGCAGGAGCCTCAATTCTGGACCACTGAAGCCAGAGGAGTGCTTATTCTCTTCACTTGCGGGGCGACCAGTGCCTCCCCCGCTTTTCTTGAGGAGAACAAGGAGAGAGAGGGCACTTTGCCTCCTTGCCGGAGGAGCACCTGCTGGATCCATTTTCCCACAGCTACTAGATCGGTGCCTACATGACTCTCTGCTCTGTAAAGGCTGCACAGGAGGGGGAGGTTTGATCTTGTGGGAGTCATAAGTCTCCACCACCAGCATGTGCAAGTTCCCCAAGAGGACCTGTGTTTGGAGACAGCCTGCACCAGCGGTAAAGCCAAACGCTCGACTGGAGCTTTAATCCGGGTGAATGGACCTCCCGGCATTATCTTGGCAGAGATGCACGTAGGTGCTCGGCGGGAGCCACGACACGCCGTTTTCACTCGTGGGTGCCGCCTCCTGGGTGGCCAAACCCGCTGTCATGGTGAGGGCGCTGCCCACCTGGCACCTTCCCATCCCTTCTCCTTGGCAGAGCTCCACCGAGGCGCAGCCAGGCAGGAGCCTGCATTCCCAAAGGGGGCACCCATGGACCCAGACTGACGCAATGCACTGGAGGGACCTTTTACTCTCCTACCAAAGGCCGCCTTTGCAGGTGCAGAACGTCTCTTACAGTCTCGACAGACACAGGGTGAAGGACAGACAGGCCGCTCTGCACCCCTCGTGGCAGGAAGCCCCGGAAGGAACTCCAAGGCAGGAGCCGCAAGCTGCGCAGTGGCGGGCTGTTCAAGGCCAGCGGGCTTGTGCAGGGCAGACCCTGAGCCACTGCTTGCTCCTGGTTCAAAGAAAATCCCAGGACAGGTAGCAAGCTTTTAAAAAGGAGTAAGTTAATAAATCAAAACTTATTACTCTGAGTGGGTTAGGAGTTACACCCAAGTCACTGTTCTGTTCCACCTTCACCCACCTAGAGGTGAACCTGTGGGGCTCGTACTTTTATACCTTTGCCTCTACCTTCCTTTCTTTCCCACTTCTACAAACTGTTATGGAGAGAGCATCCTCTAGGTACCGAGGACACTTGAACAGCCACCTGAGAGGGCTGGTTTCCCTTGGTGCCCCACTGAGCAGGGGGAGGGACCGGAGGGCCTTCTGGCCCCTGTCAACTCTACTATCCTACGATTTCATGCAAAGTGAGTGAGGAGAAGCCCAGGCCCTCCACTCTCCCCCAGAGAGCCCAGTCAAGGGGAGGCATCTCTTCCTCAGTGAGGCAAAGGTTTCTGCCATGCTAGTTTTCTGTGAGCGGGGAGTGTTTGTGCACGGAAAGGCACTGGGGCAGGCAGACCCCCCAGCAGCCAGGAAGAGGATGCCTGCTCCCCCTGAGGAGCGAGCCCCAGCCACTGAGGTCTCTGAGCACAGGTTCATTCGGCTGCCATTGTCAACCATCAACATGTTGCCTCAACTGACTGGCAAACTCTTGATTAAGGATACAAGGCAAAGCAATGCAGACACCGTTGTAAGAGAAGCAGTCACAAACATTAGCCTTGGGGCCGCCCAGAGAGAAATCACAACCCGGAGGTGTGCGCACACAACGTGCAACCCACTTGCTCAACAGCAGCTGGCTAAGCACGCACGGTGATCCACTTAGGGCTCGGTGGATCATCTCTTAGAGCGACCTGCCCGGGACTGCGAAAACTGGCATGCCAAGCCCTGGACAAGCCAAAAGAGGAGGCACAAGGCCACCTCTGGCTCCGCGAATCACCACAAGTTGCAAAGGAAAATCAAAACAAAAAGAATTTTACCTAAAGACAACAGGAGAGGGACCACAAAATTTGTGAAGGGTCTTCTTTATGTTGTCACTTAATGTAGATTCATCCAAGTACCAGGTGCTTTGGTCTGATGCAGAGGGACCAGCAGTGGGATCTTAAGAAAAAACAGATACATTTTTGCAGGAGCTGGAAATGCTTTACGTTCCCTTTGCTCAGGGCTGCAGAACGGTGAGCCTTAGCTGCGCTCCAGAAAGAAAGCTGTTCCACATCTCTTTCTGAAAGCAGCATATATTGTACTCTACCCCTGGAGGTGCTATATAATAGATTAAAGCAGGTCCCAATGAAAATAGTGCTACCTTTCTCACCACTTAGGAACCAACAACACAACTGGATGTTTTATGTACAAAACTTGTTCTCACCCTTGTCTTAAAACCACGGAACACAGTGCCCTGACATTTCAAAAGCAACATTATTGTTTTAATTAAAATTAAAAGGTCTGCTAAAGTTACCTGGAGCCCCACATACGGTGTTGATGGCAGTGGACTGAGAAGACAGCAGCTCATCCAGTAGACGCTGAGCAGTAGGAAGTATCTAAATGCAAGAAAGCTATTGACTGGTGAGTTGATAACAAAGCTGCCCCCTAGAGAAGCAGCAGCTCTCCTGCGAGACGGATTCGGTCGCATCACCAGCAGATGGGGTGGTCTGGGTGAAGCCGCCTGGTGATGCGAGCTGCCCTGAGCGAACTGGCCAACAAAAACAGGCCAATTTATACTGAAGCAGCACATGCACATTATTTAAGCAGACTTGTGAATTTCATTTTTTGAAAATTGATGCTGGAATGCTTCTGAGGTGGATAACTTCAGTTTTGCAGGTCTGACCAACAGCTTATATTACCAGTTATAACAGTTTCTATTAAAGCACTGTAAGCTGCCCAGAGAACATTTGGGTTATGGGGTAGCATAGAGAAGGACGGAAGGAAGGATTAATACAATAAAAAGTAGTTCCTTGCTTTGAAAAAGCAAATATTCATTATCTGAGAACTGAGCAAATTTCACAGGTCAGACAGTGAAAGAAACTTCAACAGGTTCAGACCAGTTGCCTGACTGTAAAGTGGAGCTTCTAGAATGATCCTATCTTGCCAATATTTGCATGCATGTATTATACAGAGCCATACCTGTCCTAATCCTTAAGCATCACTCAAAGTGGCTTACAGGAAGTAACATTGCGACACCGACATGCAACAGCAAAACAAAACTGAGAGAGCTTCCCTGGCCGTTAGAGCATCTCAGACCACCATTCAAGGTGCCAGTTTCAACCTCATGGCCCAAACTGCTTGAGATCTGAGGGCACACGCAGCAGGGGCGCCTCAGCTAGAGGACACCCTACTCCTCTGTGCCCCCCTTGGCTCTGTGCTCAGTTCACTATTAAGCACAACAAGAGCTGATTCAAGGAGAAAACCAGAAAGACCATTATTCCCTTCTGCCTGCCTTGTGGGATTTTGGAAATGTCGACCCAGGAATGCTATGGCTGCTCTGTAGGATAGCTTTTTAAGTGTTTGGCAGTTTCTTACCTGCCACTGACATACCTTGGTTGTTGGCTTACATGCAGGCAACAAAAGGTTTTAAAATACAGAATTAAAAATGTACAATGCAAATAAAAGAAAAGCAACAGTAAAATAAAAAATAGTGGGGGGGGGGCGAGAAACTAGATGGGCAGAGTCAGTGCTTGTCCTGCTGATTTCTGAGGCTGAAGTACAAGACCTGCAATGATCTGGCTGACCAAGCTGTCGATATGGAGTCCAAATAATGTAACACTTGACATTTTGTGCCGGATCTGCTACAACTGACCATAGAAATACTTTCCCCCACTGACTGTTCCTTACACATAAAAGCAGGGGGCTTTATACAAGGTCATTCTTCCAGAGTCCGGCCATGCAACCCCACGCTTGAGTGTTCACATGCACAGTCCCCCTGCTCCACACCCAGGGCTGTTGCCTGCGGATCCAGCAGTCGTGTTCTGCTCAGACTCCGCAGCCCGGTCCGCTTTCATGCCAACCCACGGCAGGGAGTGCTGAATTCTGAGTTGCCTTGGTATGAAAATGAAGCCAAGCCCACAACCCCAGAGCGGGGATGGCTCACGCTCCTCCGAATGCGAGGCTCTCTGGGCCCGCTGCTGCCTCCACTTACCTGCTGGGGGAGTTCACTGATGAGGTACTGTGCAAATTTCTGCAGCTGGTCTCTCTGCAGTCGAGACAGGGATTCTGAGACAGGCGCTCGCAGACACACCGCGGATGCCTGGAGGGGGAAGACAGGACACGTGGGAAAGGGCCTGCACGGAAGGCACAGGGAGCCCGCCAAAACTCTTCAGCGGCCAGCTCAGCACATTTGAACAGGCAACATCTGGGGCGCTGCTGCCTCTCAGCACAGGCCACGGCCAACATGCGCACACGTCCCCGTGGCTGATTTGGGAGGGGAGGGGAGGGGAGGGGAGATCGTGACGCACAGGGGCGCCGGCCTGGAGAGCTGCCGCCTGAGCAGCTAGTGGGATCTGCAGTGAAAGCCGGGGGATTCTGCAGCCCCAAAGCTTTTCCGCTTCCAGCAGCTATTAATCCATCTGTCGTTCGCATCGCGCCTCTTCCCCCGAGGCGCCATGTGTGACCTTCCCGCTCTCCGTTTTATCCTTGCAAGGCGGGAGGCCAAAGTCAGTGTGTGGCTCAAAGCCACCAGTGAGCTCCACAGCTGAACAGGCCCCCGGGCCCAGGCCTGCTGAGTCTCAGCCCAGCCCTGAGCCGCTGCACCGCACCGGAGCGCTGGCATTTCGCGAACTGAATGGCTTTCTAGGTAAGGACACCACAATCGCCTTTTCCTGTGACAACCTTTATCTCTGGTTATTCTAACCAACATGGTCATTTTAGTGCTACTTCAGTTTATTCTTTATGGAACTAAAAGCTCCTTAATACAGCCAGGGGAACCCTGAACCGTAATTCGAGGTTCACCCTCATTTCAAGCTTGAATAAAAAAGGCTAAAAACCAGCACAGAACCTGCCATTACTGAACACCTGGGCTCTGAGACTATCTGCGCAAGGATGACAGCTGTGATTCATACATTGTGTATCCGGAAGAGACAGAGGGCCACCACGTGGGCGCACCATTTGGCCCCAGCTCCGCAGGTGCAGCTGCACGAGGTGATCCTGCATCTGTCAAACATCACTGCCACATTGTATGCGCCTTTGGGTGGCACCATCTGGGGAGGCACCACAGTGGCACTCAGGTGGAAACCTGCCAGAGAACAGGGCAAAGGTTATTGTCTGACACACGCACAAAGAATGCTGCGACTCAAACACATCGTTAGTGGACGACTCATTCCAGCTGCTACCATCTACAATGCGCCTTGTTTCAGTCAGAACTCCCTGGTGCCATGTTTCAGCCAGCCACAATACCTGCTCAATTTATTGAATGAAAGCAGGCTTTCAGCAAAGGACGGCTCAACAGCAAGGATCAGAAGACCCCTCATCAGATGGGAGTGTAATTCAGTGCTTCCTGTTGACAGCCACTAAATTATTGGGCTCGTTCAGTTCCTAACGATTGTGTGCACATGCACCCGTTAGGCTCGCGTGGAACACTGAGCCACTGTTCACCCCACACGCAGAGATGGAAGCAAGCCTGAGAGCGGCTTCGCCCACGTGGTGTGCAGAACGGCTCCTGCATTGTTTAATGTCTTGCATGAAACCTGGTCTGCCATTACGTATGAACCCAAGATTATGGCTTACAACAAACTCTTCAAAATGTTCTGACTTGACAAAAATCTGAATGGGAAGGAGAGACAAAGTCTTAAGATGTAAAAAAAAAAAAAATATATGCCATTTAGAGTGAATGCTGTGGGTGCATTTTAAAATTCTGTACCAAGATGTTTTGTTAAAAATTCATGCATGTGTTCCATTGTCCCTTTCTTTTGCTTAGCCCATGAAGGAGGCCCAAATATAGGGAACAGGGGAAAAATGGATTAGAATACTTCAAGTAGTAAAACTAGGCATTTTCACATCTTGAATGCTTATTAGCACATTAGCACCTTGCTGCTTTTCCCACTGGGTCATTCTGGATGTTCTCCAGTTTTGTCTAGCTTTTGTTTAGAACTTATCAGAGTTTCTACTACTACAATTAGTAGTCAGGTTAACTGTGGGTTGTTTAACATATTATTAACCTATAGAGTCCTAGCTCAGATGTCAAACAGCAAGCCTCAGTTGGCCCAGGTGGAGGCTGAATATTCAAAAAGACAGTGAAACTCAAGATTGCAGCAGCAAATCTTGGACTAATTAACGGATGATGTGCTGCCGGTACATGCAATAGCCCCACTGACAAGTCAAGGACTTGCACTGAAGCAAAAAGGTGCAGTGGTCCTTCTCACACAGCATGAGAGGTGGGCAGGGAAGACCGTGGAATGCGGAAGTCAGACTTCATTGTGCTCATTCCAGGTATGCACTGAGGGCTAAACTGTGGTTTGGCACCAAAGCAAAGCAAAGCAGATTCAGCTGAGCTCATGCCCTCATGCACTCCGTTGAATTCAGAGAGTGAAATAGCTATGGCTGGGAGAAAAGATGATTTGCTCAAAATGCCCGTTCCCCTCCTCTGTCACTCCCAATTGCTCAGGGCATAACTAAAATTCCCTGGAAACAGACATTTTCCATCTCTAGAAGAGGTTTCCCTCATTAAATGTGGTTAGCAGAAAATGCTAAACTTCCAGAATATCATGAAAAGTATGAATAGCTCTCGATTTGGGAATAAGAAGCTCCAATACTCCAATTCAGAGCATTTTTTTCTCTTCAAAGGGCAACAGTCAACTGTACCCACATTTGTGGATTTACAGGCACTGTGTTCCCACATCACACTGCCTTCTCTAGCGGCAAGCGCACCCTCTCTGAAAGAGGTCGCTGCCTCCCCACGTCTGAGTAAGAAGCTCTTCCACTAGGTGGCCAAGACTCCCCTGGGAGGAGCAGCCCAGCTGCCCGCTATGGTGGTTCTGTGTTCATTATAACCGAGAGCCCTCCTGCTCCAGATGGAAGCTGCATCTACCCCAGATCGAGCGAGATGCGCTCAGTCTTGGAAAGCTCTCCATGACACTGTGAAGCATCATATCAAAAGGTCGCTGACATAGCAAAACAGAAAGAAGACAGAACAACTCACTTCACAGGTTTAAGAACTGTTCTCTTCAAAAGCAGCTGGTAACTGGTTAAATATTATTTTGAGTAACTGATAACATGCTTGTGTTTTTTTTTAAAATGTCATATCCCCATATTTTGTCTATTAACTCACACCATAGTTAAAACCAATGCAAAATATGGCACAGATCATCAGAATGCACACCAGTCTCACACTGAAACAGAAACTAGAAGGAGAATCTAAACAAAGACCCAGCAATTCAGATCAAGTGGCGCAAACAGCAATGTCTTCAGCAGCCAGCTAAACGCTGGAGCCAGGAGAGGCTGGCATGCAGCCTGTCCTGCCAGTGCCAGAGGGGTCTGGGTGGGTGTGGGCATCCAGAGGGGATGGCTGCGTTCACAAGCTGCAGTGCCAGCAGCCCGACTTGGGAGGCCGTCCTGCCAGGAGGCGTGAGGCCGAGGCAGGCGGCAGTGCTGCCGCACGACGTGCGGCATGCTTCCAGGCTCAAGGTGGGCTCCAACCTACCACGCCTGCACAGACCAGTACCAATGTGCAGCCGTGCCACAAAGGTAAAGCAGGCAATAAAACCGGGGCAAACATAACATCACCAACACGCGTGAATCATTCTGGCAATCATCCTCTCTGGACGACTGCAGGGAGGGCAAAAATATCCCGCGCGGCTTGAGCCAGTGCAGCGGGCACAGCAAACATCCCTTCCTGGTTGCACCTCACCAGCGAACACAGCAGAGGGTCTAAGACTCCGCCGCACTAAAGCTGGGTCCAGAGGATCCCCTCCTTTTTATTACTGAGGGGCAGAGCTGGCAAAGAGGACTTTACCCAACCCCTTGCCCCAAAGCCCTGCCGCTCTAGCACAACTGGACAACCACCCACCACGCCACCCACGCTCAGAAATTCCTCCCCCGCCCCACACCGTGCCGCAGAGGGTCTCTGCGAGTCTGAGCTAAGACCTGCACTGCGCTCCATGCCAGCGTGAGATGATCAGAGGTAAGGAGCCTACCTATCTGCAGCGGGTCTTTGACAGCCCTCATCCGGAAGAGTTGCTCGCCTCTTTGGAACTCATCCGCACTGCCATTTGCCAGGCAGGAATATAGCCTAGAAGAGGCAAGGCATTCCGATGTTAGATGTTCTTCAGTGAGGTCAACCAGCAACATGTCCTGGATCACTGATCTTCAGAGAGCGGTGGCGCTCCAGCCTAAGCTTGCCATTTTGTTTTTTGTGTTCAGTTTTGTGTTAAAGCAAGAAGAGAAAGGCAAAACGGGACAGGGTGGCCCACACCCACTGATGCCATATTGCCCACACAGGGCCCAGCGGTGGGGGGGGGGCAACCTAGAATCCACCACAAACCAGTTCTCCATCTCTGAACATTCTTTGGTCTCTAGAATATCCAGGTAAGGCCTTCCCATCTGGTCACCCTTGCTATCTTTTGCTTGTCACAGAACAAAATCACATCCCCCCCCCACCCCCCAAAAAGCCCCTCCAAAAAAAGTTAAATGCAGCCAACAGAATAAATACTATAAAACAATAAAGAAAAAAAAACAAATAGCAAAAAGTCACCCAAGTGGATCAACAGCAATCAGCACAACTATTAAAAACAAGGCCCAGAAGTATGTCTACGCGACAACGTGCATTCAAAGAGGAGGGCACCTCCTCCCTGTCCCGCAGAGGCCGTGCAGCTCTTCTACCTAGGAGCATTTCTGTCCTGCCTGGACTGCATTCCAGTGAAGTCTCCCCTGGCCCGTTGCAGTGCAGCATCTCAACAGACTGTGACAGAAAGGAGAGTCTGGTCTCACCCGCTGCAAGCCGGGGTGGCACGGCGGGGAGTGTTGGACTGGGGCCCTGAGCGACCCAGAGCCTGGTTCCCACGCAGCCATGAAGCTCCCTGGGTGACTCTGGGCCAGTCACTCATTCTCAGCCTAACCTACTTCACAGGGTTGTTGTGAGAATAAAGCTAGCTATGCAAGCCGCCATGGGATCCTCACAAGAGGAAAAAATGCAACATTCGAATTCATGCAGAACACACAACAAATTGACTAGAACCCTGCACAGCACCAGAAGCCAAAGAGCACAGAGTCACACACAGCATGGGCCCAGATAACCCCTTTTATCCAGAAATACCTGGAGCTGAAAGGCAATCATGTGCTAAGCACCCTACCGTGAGACGGGCTGTTGGGAACTAGCCAGAAATTACCCAATATAAGGGGATCAACAGTTTGTTTTAATAACTTTCTCAACACTACCTCCTTTGATCACGCTGGGGCACAGTTTCACGGAAGAAGGCATGCAATTCCTGTCACCCATTTAGCTGCTCTACTGGGCAGCTTATACTTGTCCAGGAAGGACAAGGGTTGGACATGCCACATATTCTCCAACTATTGTGCCCTTGTCCTCAGACCACCCCACCTGAGACGCGCCCAACCGAACTGAGCAAGCAGGTGGCACAGTTACGTCAGACGATCCTGCCCTCACGGCAGTCTTAAGTCTGAGCAAGTGCCTTTATCCACAAATCTACTTGCAAACGGGTCACAGTAGGTCATCCACTGGCCCAGTTCTCCTCCTCAAAAACAGTCTTCTGACAAGTAGGAAACGCTCACTGGATGGCTTTGAACAAATGCAGCAATGACAGAAAAGACAGCATTTCTTTGACCTTGCCAAACACCTGCATCATTTCCTGCTGAGGCCAGCAAGGGTTTGAAAAGATCAACTGCAGAAACAGTAAGAAAACTCAAGAGCAAGAATCCAAAGATTCTTTAGTGTCGTGGGACAGACCATCCAAGCAGACCTTCTACGCTGTAAGCCGACCACTACCAGAGGATGAGCTCTCCAAGATGGAGAGCAAATTTACTCTCTTTTTCCTGTGGAAAAGCAAGGTGCAACCATGACCAAACTGCAAACAGCCTCTGTTTCAAACTTTCATCTGTTTTGCACCAAGCACTATTTAACCTACCTAAGTATGCACAGCATCTCTTTCATTTCATTTTACAAAGTTTTTGGATATTTCATCATATCCATCTAATTAAATGCAATGTAATAATAATAATACCCAAGAATGTAGTTTCTTGTTCAACTTCCAAGAAGAGTTTTGGGGAACTCAAAAACTTGTTCATTACTTGTGACATTTTAGTCAATCCAAGTATAATGGACTGACTCCATTGCAAATCGTTATGTTTGTCCATTGGAAAGGGACTGAACAGTATATAAAACAGTACCTACAGAAGTATCGCTGATGGTGTATGTGAAAGAAGCAACATCTATTTCAAACGAGAAATTCCAAGGCGAGAGGATCCTACCTGATGTCCTCTTCATTCTCTGGGAAGCTCCAAAAGGCAATGCGAAGTTGCAGTTGCTCAGGCACTGGTGGGAACACTTTCTCCACCACTTCAAAGGGAATGTGAAATGCCACTTGCTTTGCCGATAGTTCCACCAATGGGATCACCAGCCCATCTGAAACAACACGGCATGTTAGAACAAGTCAGCTGGACTGTGCAGAGAATATGCAATCAAACTAGCAAATAAACAGTAAACAAAAACAGAAGGGCTTCCGGAGTTTTCCCTTACATGAAAAAAGCACGGGTAACACAGTTTGCATCGATCCTGTAAGATAACAAGTGCAGGGCTCACAATTTTGTCTGTTTGTTTATTCAACTTATATTCTGCATAAATCAGTCCCAAGTACTCTCTAGCCATCACCCATCCGTTTCATTTAATAAACTACTAACACAAAAAGACGCAACCAGTAAAGTTTCTCCCAGCCCCAGAATCAGAGAAACATGCCTAACTTACGTCACCAACCTCTAGGACCCATATTCTTTCAGGAATTTGGGCGAAAATCCTATTGTGGCCCTAAGAATAGAAATCAATGAAACCTGCCCCCCTAAATCAGCAACTACTAACATTCACAAAGACCAAACTATGTATCATGCTGCTACACCCCCCCCCCCGCACACGCACACACCCTCACTGGCTAAACTTGTATTAGCACCAACAGCAAAGAAGAACTTTACTCTCTAATTCTAGAGATCTAGAAGAAAACGTTCTCTTTCACACATGTGAATAAACTGCAGGTTATTTAACTCACAATCTTCAGGAATGCACACTTCCTGTGAGTTACTTCCATTTTAGGAAAACAACCTCCAATCACCATGATCAAAAGCTGTTCGCAGGATGTGCAAACTGAGACTGATGTATTGTTTAGAGTCTAAAATAACCCAATTGTTAAGTCATGGTTTGTTATTATTGAGATTGTTAACAGAAAATGAAAGTGGCTTGCAGTTACTAATTAACCCATGATCTGCTGCTGACTGAGTACAGTGGTACCTTGGTTCACAAACTTAATCCGTTCCAGGACTCTGGTCGTGACCCAAATTGGTCGTGAGCCAACTCAAATTTCCCCATAAGGTCCAATGTAAATAAGGTTAATCTGTTCTGTAACCATTTTTTAAATCAGAAAAATGTGAAGTGACAACAACAAAGATCCCGGCAATCTCCCCCTGCACACCCTGAGCACAAGCGCGGCCATCTCCCCACCCCCCCAGCACGACTGAGATCGCGCCCAACATCCCTGCAGGCGCCTGACATCCCGGCACACTGGGGGGTGGGGGGGAGAGACGGGTGAGATCGCGGGTGCACTGGGGGAGGGAGAGACGGGCACAAACGGCACGTTGGGGGACAGAGAGACGGGCGCGAACGGGGCGCGCTGGGGGTGGGGAGATGGCCTCGATCGTGCTGGTTGTGGGGGGATGGCCGAGATTGCGCCTGTCTTTCCTGCAGGAGCGCGCCTGAGATCACGCACGCCTTTCCTGCACGAAAGCAACTGTGATCGCGGCCATCTCCCCACTTGGGGGCAGGGGGAGATGGCTGCGATTTTGGTTGCCGCCCAGGGCGGAGTCCGTGACCTGAGTCAAAATTTTAATGACATTTTTGTTCGTGACCCGGTTTGTTCGTGAACCAAGGCGTTTGTGAGCCAAGGCGCCACTGCATTCCAAAGAGTTGTTTTCCCTCGATTGCTAGCACATTACTCAGTCCAGCGTAAGCGAATGCAGAGGCTACTGTTTTGACTTGCCAAGACACCAGCCAAAGGCAAATGACTCTCCAGCATCTCTCACCTCCATCCACTGCACAATTTCATAATTCTTTTATAAATCAGAGACTCCCCAAACAAGCTTTCAAACCTTCGCATTGCGAATGGCATTCACTGGTCAGGGCCAGGCCGGCAGTGAGCAACTTCAATGCAAAAGGAGACCTAGTCATACGTTCTTCTTCCTAATTGACCCAGATACTGATCTACCGGTGCAAGATTACAACGAAGCAGTTTTTCACTACTACACTGGAATAGGCAGGCAAGCACCTGGCCAAAGCCATGCCAAACAGTTTTATGGCCACGTATGGCACCCAACCCGGTGCCATCTACCGTGAGAGCCACGGCCAAATGCCCCAGTGGAAGGTTGCTGGAGTCAGGCTGTAGCATGTGCTCCTACCTGCAGATGTCAGAAACAGAAAATACGCTGCAGGTCAAGCAAACGCTCTTCTGCCAAGTTATGGCCATCTCCCCAGGCACACTCCAAAAAAAGAACTAGCCGGCCACAGCATGAAGGATCTCCTCGAAAGAACTTTAAACTGCATCCCACGGAGGTGGTGGCAGGGGAGATGTGGGCTTGGAGGTGACGGGGGATGAAGGCTTGTGCCCCATAACCAGGAGAAGAGCTCCAGCAGCGTCCCAAAACAGTCTTCACAGTGAGGCAGGAAAGAAGCCAGACCACAGAGCACAGGGGCTTCCGTGTCTCTACACTAAGGGCCAGAATACGGGAAACAAAAGGAATGAACTTGGAGTCTTCATACATGAAAGCAAATATGACTTGAAAGGTATGATGGAGACCTGATGGGATGACTCCCATGATGGGAAGATAGCAGTGGCAGGATATCACTTGTCCAAGAAGAGCAGAAGAAATAGGTGAGGAGGTGGGGTTGCATTATAAGTTAAAAATACTTATCCTTGTGCGGAAATACAGGAAGATGAGCCTGGTAGCCCCACAGAGAGCATGTGGGTCAAAATAAACATGTCATGGAATAAAAGAAACAGAACAGGTGGAGTCTACTACCAACCACTCAGTCAAGGAAAAGATAAGGAGGCAGCTTTTGCTCAGCCAATTTCCAGTATTTCAAGGAAGTGAGATGTGGTTGTAATGAAGGACTTCAATCATGCCTTTATCTGTCGGGAGACGAACTCTACCAAAGTACACCCTCTGAGAAATTCTTGTCTTGCATGGAAGATAACTTTCTTCTACAGAAAGTGAAGGAAGGAACTAGTGGGTTGGCTATCCTCAAATTCATACTGACTAGTAAGAATGATGTAGTGGATAAAGTGGAAGTTATGGGAATTCTAGAGGAAATTGACCACAACATACTCGAGTTCTTGATTTTAAAGGAACCAGAACAGGAGCTTAGCCATACATGTACTCTGAATTCTGAGAAAGCTGATTTCAATAAACTCAGGATAATGTTAAGTCAGGTCCCAGGGCAAGTGACCCTAAGGATAAAAGGAGTCCAAGATGGGTGAGAGTTTATAAAAAAAAGACTTTTTAAAGGTACAATTACAAACACTTCCAACAAAAAGAAAAGATAGCAAGCAACAGAAGAAACCAGTACGGCTCCACAGAAACCTAGTCCTGATGGAACACTCAATCCTGAATTGAATATGGCGGGTGCCTCGTTGCCTGGCATCGCCACTTTGACTATTCTCCCTTGCTGACCCAGCTGGGATCAGTGAAAGCCCAGTGGCTTTGCTCTCAGCTTCTCTGGACTCTTGAGCTCCCTCACCACATTAAGGTGAGCTTCCAAGAACATGATCCAAAGTAAAAATCAGCCCGCCTGTCCAACTCCACTAAGCAAACATTTTCTTGCCGATCTTACACTCCAGATTTCTTCACAGATTAATACTGGATGTGAAAACAATTCAAAATGCAATTAACATAAAAATACACACCACACCTCTCTAGCCTCAGCAACTGTGGGAGACAGCCTCTTTGTTTGGGCATGCCAAGAACCTAAAGCAACCCATATGGGAAGAGGAAGCGACTGCACAAAGGGTCCAGAAGTGACCAAGAGCAGACTCTAACCTGAATGGAGACCAATGTCAAGCACAAGTCAACAGGCAGGCCCAGTGATAAGCCGAGAGCAGGGAAGCCAAATCCTTAATCAAAAGATACATCCACTTCAGGGATATTCATGGTGGAGTGAAGCAAAACAAAACATTAAGTTTCTGAAACTACTTGCCAGTTAAAAGTGGACCATAAGAATATATGATGAACATATGAAGGTCCATCAAAACAGCTTCTCGGGATAGCTCTGGTTACCCAAAGACGGAGTGGATATTCCAAAAGGTCCATAATAGCCAAATGCAGCAGGAGAGGCTGCCCATCACTCCCTCTGCCATTCAAGTGCGCACACAAGGTAGATCTTGAAGATTCCCCGTCACTGCCCTCTAGTCAGAAAAACAGAACAAAACAAAGCTTGTGTCTCTAACCCTCAAAACTCACTGAAATCTGTGTCATTCAAGTAAACATGCTTTGGGCCCCTATCAACAGGAAATAAGAAAAGCACTGCTTGGGAAGGGGCCCTGTGGGAGAACGTGCCCCTCCATCACCGCTTTCCACAGACTAAGACCACTGTGCCAAAGCAGTCGCCTGCTCACCGCAGCTGGCTTTGCAGCACCACCTGATGCCACTACCCACCTGGTCCACAGTCTTATGTTCAGCAGCATGTGCGTAAAAGGGCCTGAGTCTGCATCTGATGCAGTTAAAGAAATCCAGAGGCTATTGGTTGCATTATTTTCCGGACTACTTTTATGTGTTTGCCTCTTTCATTTTTTTAGCAAAACTTTAGGCAAACATACACTCACTGCAAATTAATCACAAGTCCAAACCTTAGCCACACAACAGTAACACAGTTAACTCACTACAGAATTTTAGCATTGGCTTGCTAGGTAACTGTAGCACCAATATGGTCACTCTAAAAGCCCACTAGTATGAGGGATATGTTACTATTGTTTCTAAATGAAGAAAGTAGTTATTATAAAAGCAGGAAGAGCCTTAATATGGCCCTTTCAGGAGTGAGACCAGGAGGAAGGATTCATGCCTCCAGATTCCAGCCCAATATAAGGCCCATGGACAAACTCGTCCAAATTTGCTTGCCTGGTAAGAGACTTTGTAGCTTTTTTTTGAGTAAATACACATGAAATAAACACACTAAATGCAGATAAAATAAACATGGCAAATAAGTATAAAATAAACATGCCAGGACTGGGGTGGGGAGCCTGCAGCCCAGAGAGCAAGCCCAGACCCTCATGGCTTCCAGAGGGCCATGCCCCCTTTCTGCCCACTCTGGGGGCTCCCCTGCTCGTTTTGCATTTCATACAATACCAAAAAAACAGTGCTCAGGAGTTTTGCCAATATGGACCTTTTCTGGCTCCAGAGGTTGAGCTCAAGCCCCATCATCCTTAGGCCCTGTACTCAGCATTGACCATGCAAGTTGGCATAATCTCAACTGAGTTGTAACACTGCACTACCAGAAACAGCCCTCCACCAAATCACACTCTCATCCAAGCCAAACAAAAAATAAAAATTTATTCATACAGTTTATGAAGGGATACTTCTGAAGAATTTCTTACAATATTTGAGGAATATACTCCTGGCCTAGGGACAAGCACAGAATTAAATCAAGGGTAGCTTGACAAATCTCATTACTCTACTGTTTCTGTTTTGCCTTGAAAGTGCCATATTCTGCCATTCTGCATCTGATGGCACAAATACACCCTGCAGGCAGGCAGCTTCCTTTCATGCTTTCCGGCTCATTTTCTTCCCACTTTATCCTTTTCTTTCTTACCTGTAGCACCATAAAATGCAGTGCTAAGAAACAAAGGGAGTTAAATATAATTCTGGACCAGTGCCAGCATTCCTTAAGAAGACTTAAGCTGCTCTGGAAAAGCCAAAGTTCATTCCTCAGGGCTGGATGAGCAGAGCACGTGCTCCTGCCCCCACCGGGCTCTACTTCTTCAAGGCGGCAGAAGCGATACAGGACTGCAAGCCTGTGTCCTTTTGCAGGCATTTAAGAAAGCTTTGATATCTAATCACACTCTTCAGGAGCTACTTCACACTGAGGGGCGAAAGTCTGCTGACAGGAAGGTCTGCTCCAGTCAAGGACTCCTTGCAGCCTGCAGCTTGATAGCATGTACTATGTATTTCCACTTTGTTTTCAAAAATCTGTGAGCAAACCAATGCAGCAGTACCAGACCTGAGCTAGGATGAGACCTGGGTTCCACTCTCTGCCCAGCCATGCCTCTTCCTGGCAGGTTCACACAGTAGCACAGCATGACAATAAGCCACGAGCGCTGGTTGCCTTTGCACAAGCCACAGTGCACCCAACAGATGGCCTGGTTCACTGCCCCCCTCCGCCCCCCTCCTGACATCCCAGGGGACTTGGAGGGCTGAAGCTGCTTCGCCTCCTCTTTCCGCCATGACGGTGAGTCATGGCTTGGCTTGCCACTCCCCCTCCCCCCCCCGCTTTTGCCATTTTTTCTGGAGATTGTGAACAACTGTAGATATGAGGTCCCGTTCTCACATGTTATAGTCTGCTCATACAGACTCTTCCAGGTCTGAGGAGGTGGTGGTGGAGTAGAGGCTTTTGCGAATGGGGCGGCGTATCAGTATTCCGAATAAAAAAATAAATAATAAATAGAGGTGGGCAGATTCAAGGTTATCCAGCTTCCAGGTGATCTAGTGAAGATTCTCAGGCACTGCATGAGAATGAGCCCACCTTGGAAAAGGAGGGAGAGCTTTCAGAGTTGTGGGGGGCAGAGATGGCAGGAGAGCTCCTTGACCTTCTATGGAGACGGCAGGGAAAACAGGTAGCCCAGTTACAAAGTGTTCCGCATCTCCACCATCCAGCTCTCAAGCAGCAGGAGCCACCCTGAAGCTAGAAGAGTGGAAGTCTCAGTTTGTATTCAACACTTTACATGGGCAGATGCTTCTCTCGCATCTCAAAGAGAACAACACTACATTGATTTATACTGTTTTCTAACTTCTTAAGTTGTAAGTAAAGACTGCTCATAAAGTTTCATCTGAATCTGCTAGAGCGGACAAGTGGGAGAGACTGCCCATGACAACCATCTCCAGACTGAGAGCCTGTGACATCCCCTCCAAAGTGCCTCACAAAATGCTCTACTGCCACACTTTTGCAAGTCCATCTAGGCAAACTACCAAAAGCACTGTACACATCTGGAAGTTTTTCTAAAGGAGTGGTCAGCCAGTGACAGCTCTCTAATGTGCAATTTGGGCATTTCAGAGGGGCAAACACCAGTGGAGACAGGTTAAGGCAAGCAAAAAAAAAACTGCCTCCCTTACCAAGTGCTTGCTCAGTTGGCTGCTTTGGCAGGCATAACAACCCCTTGTGGGTAAAACAGCCCTAGAAGCGCCCACAGGTTCTCAGGGAGACCTGCGGGAAAAAGCCCCCTGTGACTAGTGGCCTCACTTCAAATGACCGTCCACTGTGGCTACTGACCTACAACAGGCTGTCGTGTTGTGCAAACCTGGTCATTCTTGCAACCCAGACTAATGCAAAGGATAAGGACGGCTGCAAGGCTAAAGGCACCAGCCCCAGCTCGCGCTTCCCTGAAGATGCGCTTCACCAGACAGCATGCTGCCCGTAAGTGCTAAGGGCCGGGCACGCAACCTGACATGTGGCACCGCAGGGCTCAAGGGCTGGCAGTGGAGGGAGCGTACTGCTTCCAGGCTCAACACACAGATCCTCATGACACCACTCTGGACATCAAGATGAGCGGCGGAATTCCAGTAAGATTCTGTGACTTGCTTGCAAAGTCCACCCCTTCTGCACAGTGCTGCTTCAAACATTTTAAGCATGCCTGCATAACACACGCATGTTGTTGCTATATGTAAATTGTTTCCATGTGAAAATGCACATGCTTGACCAAAGCTCTTAATAGCATGCATCTGATGCAGGGAGTCAGGGTTGCTTGTGAACTCCACCTATGGTGCAAAACAGGTATTTGCTACAGCTTAACATGCAAAGCGGCCCTCTGCCAGGTTCTGAGAGTGAGCTCCAGCAAACCAAACCAAACCAAACCAAACCAAACCAATAGATGATGAAAAGAAACTTGGATGACAGGAACAAGCAATTTGCAGAAGGGTTTCTTCCCCGAATCCATGTGGTTCAGGCCAACATTCCAATCATGGACAGACAGGATCATGCTAGTATTCTGATTAATAGAAACTTGTTTATCATTTACTATACCACCCTGTATGACACACTTCTGTTAGTGAGAATCTACGTAGCAAACAACCGAACAATGACACGAATCCCATGGCAATGCTGCAAAGGATTGTTCTCCTTCAGCAAAGCCACCCCAGCTGAATCAAGGCTAGCGCGGAGCTTGCACTGCTTTCCCTTTGCTGTTAGTCTCAGTACAAGCACAGTCGCGGGGCCACTGCCGCTCGCTGCGAGCGATTTCACGGGTGATCCCACCATTCCAAACTATCCCCTTAACCCTTGGCCAGGACAGGCCAGGCCAGGACAGCCATCGCACGAGCGAGGCACAATCCTTCTAACCGACCAGGCTACAACGAGGCTTGCCCCGCGGCGCTGCAGCGCTTCCACACCCTCCCCGTCAGCACTCTTGTTTCAAGCAACGGCGCACTACTTAAGCAGGGAACTCCAGCGGCCTCGCGAGGCTGGGGCGCAAGAGGTCATCTCTGCGTAGCGCCGCCTGAGCAACAAGTACTAGCGCGCACCCGCCGCCCGCCTGCTTGGGAACAAGCCGCAGGATCGCCGCCCGGCTCGCCCGCCCCGAGCGCAGCGCCCCCGCCCCCGCCCCGCGCGGGGCCGCTCACCTTTCATCTTGACGGTGGGCGAGTTGGGCCCCGCCGACTGCTTCCGCCATCCTCGCCAGTTCTGGCACAGGCTCTCGGCCTCCGAAATGAAGGAGCAAAGCGAGTCTTCCTCGAAGCGGTCCGAGTCCTCGAACGAGAACCTCTCGCCGTCCTCCCACTCGGCGAACATGAGTTCCATCACCCCGCGCGGGCGGCGAGGGGGAAGCGCGCCCTCTCTCGCGGGCCGGGGCGGCGAGGCGCCGGGCCAGCCGCTCAGCGCGCCCGCGCCTCGCCCATCTCCCACTCGGCGGCCCGGAAGCGGCGGCAGCGGGGGCGAGCCGGGATCGCGGCCGGGGGCAGGCGCGGGCCTCGGCTAGGCGGCGCGGCGTTGGGCGCGCAGGAGGGCGCCGCCGGACAGCTCGCGGGAGGCCGACGCGCTCGACGCGCGCATCGCAGCGAGGCCCGC